AAGGAAAGGAAAGGAAAGGAAAGGAAAGGAAAGGAAAGGAAAGGAAAGGAAAGGAAAGGAAAGGAAAGGAAAGGAAAGGAAAGGAAAGGAAAGGAGGAGTGGGAAGAGGTGTTGAAACTCTGCTGAGGAAGAAAATGTGTACTATCACCCTAATTGAAAGCTCAGTAGAATTATTACTCGGAAAAGGTTGCTTTTAACATCCTTGTCCATGTTACATTTATACCCAGATCTGATCAAGAGGAGCACAGTAGTACAACTGTTTTGCAGCAACTACAACTGAAATTGCCTTTGTATGGGCTTGTAAACATCTAATAAATTTAAAAAAAAAAGCTGAAAATCAGAATAATTCAGATGAGAAGACTTAAGCAAATATAGATCGAATATGTAGGTCCAGGACCATCCCTAGGAATGGGGATTGGGAAACCATTATATTGTACAGTTTAAAATAAATAAAATCACTTAAAAGTGAACTGGAAGCATGCTTCGTACAAAGAATTGCAGGGAATTCAGAGAAGGAAGACAAGAATGATCAAGAGCCTGTACAGCCCTGCTAGCAAGATAAATTGAAAGGACTTGCTATGATTCATCTCTTTCCTAAGAAGAGCAAAGTGTGGCAATTCCCATTAACCGTGTGTGATGCTGAGTGGCTACACCGCTTAATGCAGCACTCGCAGGTGCCCCGGTACTCCGGCAGTGGGAGCAGACGGACTGTGTGCTGGGCTCCCTCTCCCACGGCCCACAGGCCACGCTCAAGATTTCATTAGGAGCATTTTTTTCAGGTGCAATTCTGCAATATTTTTCAGATGACGTTCATGCAATATAGAGCCACCTGCGTGAGGGGACTTCTTTGCAGAAACACCTTAAGGTTAATGTCCGTAGCACTCTTCAAGTATATATTTCCATAAAGCACGATCAAAAAATCCAAGCCTGGACACTGGGCAATGCTATAATAAATTCTAAGATAAGTGATGATATAATCACTTATTTTCCCGTGAAGAGGCTAACACGGCCACCAAAAAAAAAAAAAAAAAAATCCCATTTCCAATCTGCAAGTTTACTGATTATCTGAACTAAGAGTCATATTAATTAAAAAAGAAGTTTTAGAAACAAAGATTTCTAAACCTGATCTGAAATAAAATAGGCTCCTAATCTCTTTCCCTTCCTTTTTTCCTATTCCTATGGCTTTTAAAAGAAGGTTGAAAGCACTGTATAATAATAGTCTTCATTATACTTTTGTTCAAAATTAGAAGACTGCATTTACGTGGGGTAAATGGAGACTGCGAGACTAAGTCATTTGCCGAAATGGTGCAGTGCACCACAAAGAGGCTGAGGACAGCTTTCTAGAGGGCTTCATTTCAACAGCCATAGGACAACATCTTACTCCACAGATAGTTCATCCCCAAACTAGCTCGAAGGCTGCTCAAGTCAGCAGCTAAACTGCAGCATGAGGTGAGCTAGGCTGTGTGTCCACCAGAGGCAGTTTGTGCCCAGGAGCAATTCGGTCACTTCCACGAGCAGCGCACCCTGAGCTGGGCGTCTCGGGGTTTGGAGCGCGGCACCCAGACCAGGAGAGGCAGGTGAGAAATCKGCAGCCCTGAACAGAGGCAGCCGGAGCCAAGACGCCTGGGGAGATCCAAGCTGCTCCTGGAGCAGCCTCGGCTCCTGGAGCCTGCCTCGGCTCCAGGATGGCTCCCCTGTTTCCTGCGCCAAAGCAAGAGGCATTTGCAGCCTCACCTCAGGTCCAGCATTTCCCTGGGGCTAATAAAGTCCAGGAGCTTGAGCAGGAGAGGTGGAGTATGGTGAACTGCTTTGCTGTACCTCTGCATCAGCCACGCTCAACCCTGTCTCGCTGCTCAAGTCCCTACAAGGCACCTATCTGGGGCATCCTGGCCTCCGAGACCTTGGGTAACGGGTGTGAAGCTGTTCAGGATGGGAAGTTGTGCTAGGCATAGTCAGGCTCTGACAGTCCATGTTAAAAATATGTATTTAAACAATCAATAAAGTTCCATTTTAGAAATAAACCACGGAAGATAATTAGGACTGTATCTCTTCATTCCTTAATAGGTCTGATTTCTGTATTTAAAAAAGACAGTTCAAAGCACTTTGTTAATATTAATCACTGCAACAGCCTTCCAGGACTAGAAAGAAAATGAGAGAAAGATGAGAGATATATTGCCTGCTTGAACAAAATCCTAAGTAAATGCAAAGCATAATGAGCAGTTAGCCAGTTAAATAGGTCTCATCCATTCATGTGACCAGGATCAGTTGAGGGTTTTAAATCGCTAGAGCAGCAGTTGACATTTGCACAAAGTAAAACTCAGCCATATCTCTGAACCATCAGCAAACGCGTCCTGTCCCCAGCTGCCCTGGGCCTGGGCTTGGGGGACTGTGCCCACAGCCTCACCGTTGCAGCAGATGCACTGAGGCTCATGAGGCTTAGCATGGAGCTAAGCACAAATATTCAGCATTTCCCTGATGATTCCCACTTTGCTAACCTTACAGACAACCCTAAGCCTACTGTGGGTTACTTAAGTGTTTTACAAGGCCAAAGATTAGCAGACAAGTAATGCACAGTGGGGATTTAAAGCAAGATGTCTGAACACAGCCCTGTTAAGGTCAGGTCACTGGCTGGTGGGCGATCTAGATACACTGCTAAATAAATGACGCCAAGTTTACCTCTTGTATTTGGCTCAATGTTTTCTTTAGGCATCAAAAAAGAGTTGACTCACAAGCTAACACCTAGCTATACGTATGCACAAGGTCTGCAGGATTGGGTCCTAAGCTGTGTATTGCTTAGGAGGGAAACAAGGTCTGAAGGAGTAAGAATTGGGAACTTTCTCAACTCTTGCTGTCTTGCCCACTGACTTTTGTCTTGCCCACTACTTTTGACAGTAGCTGCACTTTTTGACCACTTACTGTAAAGCGGAGATGTTGGGAGGCCGGTACAAACTGTGCAGCTTGCAGCAAAGGAACACTAGCTAATTTATTTCAGGAGTTCTTACAGGAGAAGTTAGAGGAAGTTCTGTACTCTGGCCTGACAAAGTATGTGTGGGCATTGCCAGAGCCATGGAAGATGAATAAATAAGAAAGCAGACAGGGTCAGTTAGCAAGATATTGCTGCGTTTTATAACAAGCAGCTAAACCCTAGAGGTTAGGGCTCTTTCCCAAGCTGCGCTTATGCCATTGAGAAATTTCTTCCCAGCAGCAATTCCTTCCAGAGACTGTTGTTTCCTTCCTCTTCTCCCCTCCTTTTCCTCTCCTCTCTGTTCAGAGCTCTCCCCTGAGCTATGCAGCCTGTCCCTCTGCTAGATGGGCCTGCTTCAGGTSCACGAGCACTCGTGCCAAGGCCCTGGACAGTGCACACCTCCAATCCAGCCATAACTCATCTCATTCATAGAATCACAGAATCCTGAAGGTTGGAAGGGACCTCCAGAGGTCACCTAGTCCAACCCCCCCGGTACATGCAGGGACACCCASAGCAYGGGGCACAGGGCGGCATCCAGGCGGGTTTGGAAGATCTCCAGRGWAGGAGACTCCACAACCTCTCTGGGCAGCYTGTGCCAGGGCTCTGKCACCCTCACTGGTAAGACAGGTTATTCCATGCTGCACTCCCAGCACAGAAGAGCACAAAATGATTGCCAACTCCCTGGAATAACCCCTGCTGCCTTCTCCTATTTAAAGCTAAAAATAAAACAGCACAAAAGAATTAATGGAAAAATGATAATAATAGTAATA